TGGTCCATTCTTCAACCTTCCCCTTTCAATCCATCTAAATTTTACAAGAAGATATTCTTAGAGTAACACCTACCCTCGAGAAACACTCACAAATGAACACATACAAAAGTATACAATTCACAAAAGAATTAATTATTGATTTACATGAAAAAGAAAATGAAATGGTATTTAAATCATTGTATAAATCTATACTACTTTAAAAAGTACAAATGGCCTCTAGAATATTTCTGGAATTTTCTAAGGACAATATTCACCCCTCTATATTTAAATTTAATGATAAAAAATGAGGGCAAATAGGGTAATTGGTTCTTGATATTAAATGAGTTGAAAAGAGGTGATTTAAAGATATCCAATGCATTCAATCCTCTCTCATTAAATCCAATATTTAAGTTATTAACTTGCATTCATGTTCATTGAATCATATATTTAAGTCATTTTTATTTCTTCTCATCATTAAGTTATATTAATTAAATTCATACTTAATAAATTAATAATTCCAATAACATAAAAGCTTATACCTTTAAAATCTACCTAGCAAAAATAGTGTTTTCATCTAAGTGGTGGTAAGAAATTAAATCATTTTGGGTCAAATGGGTTAATCCATGTTGCCATGATTAAATAATAAAATAAAAAATAGATAAAATAAAAAAAATAGAAATTAAGAAATTTGGGAACATTTTTAACATACATATTAAACAATAATAAGTATGTTAAATAAGAAATGTTTTTATTAATAATGAAAATAGAATGTAAAATTTAAAACCAATTAGAAATAAAAATATTTTCCTATTCTCTCTCATCGAATCCTATGTTTAAAATATATTTTTCTCATCATTAAATTCTTGTAATTAAATCCACAATATTAATTTTAATAGTATAAAAATAAATATTTTGAAAAGTAATTTGAAAACAAACCATTTTCTTCTCTCCTGGTGATGGGCAAGCAATTTGACCATTTGGGGTAAAATGGATTAATAAATAATTTTATAATTAAATAATAAAAAATTAAAATAAATAACTATAAATGTAAAAAGTATTTTTATTAATGATGAAAATGGAAAGCCGATTTCAAAATCTACCTAGAAATTAAATGATGTCATAGTCAAATAATAAAGTTTTTAATAATAGAAAATACAAAGAATCACAAAAATAAAGAAAAATAAGTGAAAATTTTGGGTACATATCTAATGTTATATATTTATAAAAAATAAAATATTGGGTAAATCTCTAATGTTGTACATTCATTATATTGAATAAAAATAAGTTTTATACATAATAAATAATTTTATCAATAATGGAAATGTAATACAAAATTTAATGTCAACYTAGAAATCAAACAATTTTTATTTTTAGATGGTGGGTTAGTGGTTTGAGTMAAATGATAYHAWAGAVAAACAAAAATTAAGTGTGATAAGTAAAAAATATTTTATATAATGTAAATGAAATATATAATTTAAAGGGAAAATTATAGTCAGTCGGTTGTACATTTAAAATTAGGTTGCAGGTTGGTCCAGAAACCAACCAAACTCTGAAAACCAACTCTACATTTCAAATTATAAAAACCCCTACAATGTCATCAAAGGCTTATGTGGTTGTTGCAAACATGGGACTCTTATTCCATGTTGGACACAACAGAAAACCTATATCGAAAATAGGTTTTCAGTTTCTCTCCCACTTCCTTTGTCTCTCAATCTCCCTCCCTTCTCTCTCACTCTCACAGTCATCTCTCGATCTCCCGCTCCCTCTGTCTCTTCCACTTTCTTTGTTTCGGTTTGTAGCCAAATCAAAACCTCTCTCTCTATTGTTCTCCCTCAATCTTTCTCATTCTTCTCCCCCACTCTCCCTCTTGGTCAAAATCTCCTTCTCACTCAATCTCTATCATTCTCCAATTGGTGTAAATTTCATAGCCAAGAGTTTCTTGTGAATTTTATCAATTTGGTGTAATAATTTCTGAACCATACCAAGTTGGTCTCATGTTCTTTATATGATCTAATAAATACCATATGTGTGTAAGGAAATAAGAAAATAAAAAAATGAGAGAGGGAGAGGGAGAGAAACTGAGGGAGAACGATAGAAATTAAGGGAAAAGGAGAGATCGATCAAGAAAGAGAATGAGAGAAATTGAGGGAGAACAATAGGTAGAGAGAGAATGAGAGAAATTGATATAGAGAATGTAAATATAGAAACCAAAAGCCTTTTTATTTATTTTCAAATTACATAATCGTTGAGCAGATAAAGATGACTGTGAGTGAAAGAGTATGTGTGTGTGTGTGTATGTGAGAGAGAGAGAGAGAGAGAGAGACTAAAAACCCTTTTTTATTTTCCAATCACCCAACATTAAAGGGCAATTTTAGTATAAGCTTGTCGGCAATAGCCACATAACCCTCTGATGACATAACAAGGGTTTTTATAACTTGAAATGTAGAGCCATTTGTTAGAATTTTATTGGTTTATAGACCAACTTGTAACCAAATTTTAAATGTACAGCCGGCTTCGACTATAATTTTCCCTAATTTAAAACTAATCCAAAAGCAATGCTATTTTTTATCTAGATGGTGGGTCAATGGTCCAATTTTTCAAAACAATGCATGATGTCATAATTGAATAATAAATATTTAAGTTTATTTTTAATCATATTGTTACTTTTTTTAATTTTCATTTTCTATCTTAACTATGATATATCTAAAATTGAAGTAATTAATATGAAGAAAAATTTCTCACGTGCAACGCATGTGCTTAATTACTAGTATTGTAAAACATGGGGGCTAAAGTGAATTTCTTCCCCATGGCCATAGTAGAGGCCATCCTGATGTGATATTGGATCCCAACACAAAGGGAAGAAACCGAGAAAGCAAGCAAGTATGGTATAAATTAAACACAGATCCATCAACCACATTACCAACATCATCAGCCCTCTTGCTCCAATACTCAAATTAATTCTTCAAAGATTGCTTCCCCTTTTCAGAAGAGGAGAGCCCTTTCTACATATTCTCATCCTTGGCCAATCATTCTTTAGAAACTTCCTAGTATCCTACCCTACCTTGCTTGAAGTTGTTCAACATCAATTAACACCGGCCTTTAAACTTGTTACAACGAGATTCATATATCTTTAGCATCAATTCCAATTCCGCGATGACATGACAAGCATGGGATACTGGCAAGCTTCCTAGTGATGGTGTCAAGGGTGAAATGAATAACAATATTCTACTTGGAAACCATTTTGGTCAATAGAAGGAAGAACAACGGAAGTTAAAAAGCACAAAGAAGAAATACAATAGCAGAGGAAGATGAACAACATTTATAGAGACTAGAGAGTGGAAATAAAATGAAAGCATAAGGCTCAGTTTGGAAGGAGTATTGCAAATACAGATATGTAGAGTGCAAAACCTTATATTTTGTATTATTTTGTATGTATTTATACTGTATGTATTTGCATTTGCACTCTTTCCAAATTGAGCCTAAAAGGGAAATAAATCAAGCGAGCCGCAGTATGGCTGAAGATCTTGACAGTATGGTACACATTGCAACAAGCCAGACAATAGCTTGTTGGGTAAGATTGGATTGATGTTTCGTATGCGTAAATTGCCATCATTACACATTTAAATTCTGGCCATAATATAAAACATGCACCCACATGGGCCCAACATTGGTGTGTTCACTTGGGTAGGGATCTGCCACCAACATGTCTCCCATGAATGACAGAGAACAACTTCTCCCAACCTTGCATTGGGAATATTGCTCCATGAAAGAAAGCACATAAGTACAAAGATATTCCTAATGCAAGACTATAAAGGCTGTTTGAACGGCTGACGGAAGCCAAACTCTAAATGACAAGAAAGATATTCTCAATGTACAACTATAGACGACTGTTGGAATACTATTAGGAGCACTTTGTTGTTACAAGATCCAAATCATCCTATATTCACTCATATTTGATTCCATTAATTTGCTGTTAATACATAGTGGTGAGAGCAGGTCCGATATGCTCCACAACCACGCTTCTAGCATGATTTGACACTGCACATCCCATGCATGGTGGGAGTCAAGATTGCTTCTCACATCGACTTCACAACATGTCTTGGCCACACATTGGGAACATCTCCTGCACTTGTATTTATTATTCATGGAGAGATGTTCCTAATACATGGTGAGCAATTCAGATCTCTTATCCACAAGAATCATACCCACACTTACACACAGACACTAGACACTACAAATAGGGGTGTCCATGGTTCGGTTAACCGAACCATGGCCCTTTTTTGTAAACCGAATTAGCGGTACCGATTTTTCCATTTCGCTAAACCGAAACCAATCTGGTATCACACGGTCCGCCGGTTTCGGTTTTTGACCGGTTCTGTTCTTCGGTATTTCATTTTTTTATATTTATAATATATTATATAAATATATGTATAATATTATATTATAAATATTAAATGATATGCAATATATTATAAATATTTAAAAAATATATAATATATTTATAAATAGATCATTATAAATATAATATAAGTATATATATATATATAATGAATATATATTTACATATAATACATAGAAAATATGTGACATATATTAAAAATATATAAAATATACATATAAATATATATACCGATCGGTTTGGTTAATCGTCGATTTTTTGTAGGTTAATCGAAAGCCAAACCACTCCTTCGGTTTTTTATAAATTCTAAACTGAAACCGAAACGATTGGCTCAGTTAACCACATTTTACGGTTCAGTTTTCTCGATTCAGTCTAGTTTTTTGGCTTTTCAATTTTTCATGGAGTACATCTGGTTCCTGGTTAGTGGTTAGTATCCTTGTGGGCAGAAGAGGTCCGAACTCCACGGTGGGATGTGGCTGTGAGGTCAGTGTGAGGAGAAGATCTAGCTTCCTGGGTCGCGGTGTCAGTTCACATTGGAAGTGTGATGGTTCTGATGGAACAGGTTTTGTACGGAGCAGATCCCAACTCAGCAGTTCCCGTGTACGCGAGTTTACTCACCGCAAAATGGGTGCATTGAACTCAAAAACTCGTTATTTCCCATTTTCCCTTACTCTTCCAGTCTTCTGTATACTTTTCCAGTCTACCACGATCTGACGGTTGGATTTCCAATTTATCTACATTATAAGCTTCTCCGGTTTTCTCTCTCTTCAATTACGAAAATTTTCTTTCCTGTCCCCCGGTCCACTCTCTATTTGCAAACATTATCTCTCAATCTCTCGATATTGCTGTGAAATTCGTTATTTCTTAGTTGCTACGACATATTGGATCTAAAGGTATTTCTTTGCTGCTGTCCAAGTTTTCAGGTCAGTTCATTCTCTTTTTATGGTTCAGATTTGCGAGTATAATGAACTAAATCTCCATTTGCTTTAGCATAACTTCAGTATTCCATGCAGGAAGATAGAAATTTGGTTTCTTAGAAGTAATTTTAGTAATTTGTGGGAGTATGGCGTTATTTGCTTCCAATAATTTTTGGTTTTGGATGCAAAGCAAGACTTGATTCTCTTTAACTGAGTTGTGGGACTGATTTTTTTTTTGTTATTCTTCATGCTTGTCAGATTTAGTTTAATGAATCGGTGAGTGAACTGCTCAAGATGGGAATTTTCGATGGACTGCCTACTTCGCCCGAAAAATCTGTAAGTATTTCTTATATGGTCCTAATCTTATAAGCAAGTAACCTTTTATTAGGGATTGGTTATTATATCCCAAGCATTGCTACTGATATAGTTACAAATTTCGGGTTCATTGTTAACTTCAATTTGTTGAAATGAGAATGTCCAATTTACAGTTTAAGCTCTTAGTTTCATACTCCCTGTAGACATATGAATAATCTTTCTCTGAGTTATGATGGGAGAAAATAATCCTAATTGATTTGGGCTCTTTTAGTAGTCCTTAACAAGCTAAAAACAATTTAATTAATGAAAGACAATTGTTGAAAATGAGAATGTTTAATGCATGTGTTATTTTTCATTCAAGCTATTTGGTCCACTTCTATGTGAATCGGACCTAATTGTTATATCTTTTCTTTCACTATGTTTGGTTGTTTAGTATTTAAAGGAAGAGCTCTCAAGAATTGATGAAAGCTGGGTGGCTGCACGTTTTGATTCGTTACCTCATGTTGTCCATATTTTGACATCAAAGGATCGTGAAGATGAAGTCCATTACTTAAAGGAACAGAGAGAAATCGTTGAAGAAGTTGTAGATGAAGTTGTGCATGCTTACCACAGTGGTTTCAATAAAGCAATCCAAAACTATTCCCAGGTTCGTGACATTTTTGTCCCTTGATCTATTTAATTTTTAATGGTTATAGCATTGGAAATCTGAGACCTTTAGGAATTGTTTGGGGGGGGGGTTGTAGGAAACACAAATGGGAATTTATTTGCTATCTATTCTGGTCCAATAGGGGAAGGGAACTCCTGCACTACAATAGGATGGTTTAAGCAGTAGGCTCAAGGAATGTGGCAGTATAGATATACTGTGAAGAAAACCGAACAGCTGGTTTGAGAATTGGCTGTTGACTGGAATTGGACCAATAGAACAGCTAATAATGCAGCTGACTCAATTGCAACACAGGGAGTTAATAGGGAAGATGGGGAGTAATCACATAATGTGCGTCTAAATACAAAAAGGGGTTAGGTATCTGCTGTTATCCTAAATACTGAAAATCTTGTAAGTACTACCTAGCTATCAAAGAGAAAAGGTACTCACTTAGGGGCAAAACAATTAAAAAAATGTTGCAAGAGGATTCTTACTATTTTTATGTGATTAACTATCCATTGGAGGTACATCATTACATCATTTCTTGCTAAGCATAATTATACATCTTTTTTTGATATGGAAGGATAAACAATAGCACATTTATAACAAGGCTTCTAATTTATTCTCTTTCTTCTATTCCAGATATTGCGTTTGTTTAGTGAATCTGCTGAAAGCATTGCCATCTTAAAGGTTGATTTGGTAGAGGCTAAGAAACTTCTTGGTTCCCGCAATAAACAATTACATCAATTGTGGTATCGATCAGTTACATTGCGCAACATAATTTCACTGCTAGACCAAATTGAGGGAATAGCTAAGGTTCGTATAATTTGTTTTGCATTTCCTAGTTCAAATTGTAGGCAAAATTACACAATAAACATTCTAGAATATGACGACTCTGTGAATAAGTTTGCATAGGATATAAATTCTGATATTCCTCTTGATTGGTCTTATGATTGAACTTGTACTTTAAAATTTTGTCTAGGGTTTGGCTGCCTTGTGATGATAATTTTATGCCAACTAATTGGGTTCTATGCTCTGTTTCCGCGATGAACAGTGTATTAGAAAAAAAAATTTCACTCTTGATAAAAGATTGAAATTTGTTGAGATGTAGATATAGAGAACAGAACTGCTTGTATTGTATGATTTCAATGCAGACAAATTCTTTTTGATAGTGTAAAGTATTTTTTTTGGTAATAAATAAAAAATAAAATTTATTAATAAAAGAAAGTAGTATATCTGATTGTGATGAGATATCACCAGAAAACAAAGCTACAAAAGAGAGTGAAACAAGCAAAAAGGAGACACTCAATAGAAAAAAGAGAGATGCATAAAGCCATAAACCAAACAAAAGGGAAACTGTTAAGCCAGCTCCAGAATGTTCCAAAATCCAGAACCAAGGTCTTCTTTTGTGATTCCTTCAAACTCTGGGAGAATAAGCACCCAGTCCATAATTCTTTTGCCACATAGTAATGTGATATGCTCCCTTGTTTGAGCCTTCTCTTCAAATATTCTTCTATTTCTTTCTTTCCAAAGTTCCCAATAGACAACAAAAGGAATGCAGCTCCAAGTGATCTTTGCCTTGACATTTCCCCTTACATTTTCCATTTGGAGAAAATCTCCTCTACTAAATTAGGAGACCACTTGAAAAGCCCAAAGAAGAAGCCCCAAATGAACTTGGAGAAAAGGCATTTAACAAGCAAATGGTAGATATTCTCCTTTGCTTGCATTTAACAAGCAAGTGAAAACCTCTGTTTTGAAGATGGTTCAATGCGAAAATGCTATCTAACGCCACTAGCTAAGAAAAAGCTTCCACCTTTGGGGGGACATGGGTTCCCCAGATAACTTTCAATTCTAAACTTTCTCCATTTGACCTTCACAAAGTCTTGTAGAAATATTTGATTGAGAACAGACCATTCCTAGATTCTTTCCACCATCTTGAATCCTTCCTTTCCACCTGGGTTTCAGCTGACTGGAGTTTTGCCAGAAGATGCACACACTCTTGAATTGCCCAATCAAAGAGAGATCTCCTAAATTTTGGATACCATACTTCTCTACCTTGATTTATCTCAAAATTCTTTTGCAATAGAGCTATTTTTTCATACCCAACCTATACAGATGAAGGCAAAAACCACAAAGATCATACAACTTTCCAATACCCAGCCAATCATCATCCTAGAATTTGATTGTTGAACCATCTCTAACCTTGAATGGCACAAGGTTGAGAAAAGCCAACACTCCATAAGATGTCTTCACTTCTTTGGACTCCCACCCGAATCCAATAACCCCATATTTGCAAGTCACCACCCTTCTCCAAAGATCCTGCCTCTCCAAGACAAATCTCCACAACCATTTCCATAGAAGATCTTTATGAAAATCTTCAATCTTCCTTATCCCCAAGCCCCCATCTTTCTTTTCCGTGCAAACCTTATCCCACTTAACTCAGTGGAATTTCTTCTCAATCCTTTTAACTCCCCATAATAACTCCTTTTGCATTTTTTCAATTGAACTTATCACAGAAGTTGGAGCCTTTAATGGTGAGAGGTAATATACCGTGAGATTGGACAATATACTCTTTATAAGAGTAATCCTTCCACCAAGTGAGAGATACATTCCCTTATAACCTGCCAGTCTTTGATCTATTCTGTCAAGAACTGGTTTCCATGTTGAAGAAATCAAAGGTTTTGCCCCTGTTTCGACTGCTGCTACAGTAGTCCGAACAGGAAGAAGAAGAAGAAGAAGAAGAAGAAGAAGAAGAAGAAGAGAAGAAGAAGAAGAGAAGAAGGGTCAGTCGAAAATCTGATGGTTAAACCATCCAGTCGACCCTAAAACACTATTCAACACTGCTATTTCTTTTACTTTGTTTAACATATCCAGCTACTGTCGTTCACTTGCCCTACTGTCATTTCTTCAGGAGGAGAAGAAAAGAAGCTACATAGAAGAACAGAAATTAACTCACTTGACCCTACTAGATGAATCCTGTTTTCCATATGTGCATAGTTGCAATTCTGCCATTGCATTATTATCAGGACTTTACTGATGTTGTCCAGATTTAATGGGCCAACAAGAGAATCACCATCTGACATTGAAGCAATAAGGAAACTGTTCTTTTCAATTGATTCTGAACCCATGCTATAAAGGTCAACCTGGCCAAAGAGTTGTTGGTTGTCTTGGTCATTATTAAATGCATTATTATCCATTTAGCCTAATTCATCAGCTCATGCACCCTCCCTATCTCTAACCCACCCTCCTACTCACCTTCTTCCAACATATTAGGTGAGGACGAGAAATACCATCTTGTCATGAATAAAATCTAGGGTTAGAACAACCTGAACAGCTGGAATTGATCTTTTCCAACTATCAAACAAAAAAAAAAATACAAATAATGATTTTTTTCCCTCAGTGGTAGGAATTTCCAAAAATATATTAACCTTCATTTGATGAGTATGAGATTTTATGAAAAGTTCCATAAATTAACAGTTATCAGCTGGTGATGTTTCTTCGAATTCCAAGGTGAGTGCCTTGTAAGGCTGATGGCTATTGGTGGTGGAGAGTCTCTCTCAAGACTTAGACGTTATTATTTGATTCCAATTTGGTGTTCTGACAATGATTCTTTTGGTGTTTTGAGTGTATGGAAAGTATGAAAGAGGGGAAGGAAGAGGAAAGAAAGAAGGGAATGTGTGCTGGTTAACTGAGACTCACAACCCCCATTCACAATATTTTATTAGGTTGAATTATATGAAGGATGAAGATATCAGTTCCTCTCTACAAGAGATATAATGACAGATCATATATTGGATATATAAAAGCTCAATTATATCCTTACAACTTGAGCTCAATGTCTATGTTGTTATTGATTGATCAATTTTAAGATTGCATTGGATGTTACTTTAAGTCTTCAATAATTAACATGCATCCTAACATTGTCTTCTGGTGATCTATTATTTTTGTGGAAATGATTCCTGAGCTACAAAAATTGCAATTCTAAAGGTTTCGTCCATTTTTTTTCCCCATTTGTTTTTCAGGTTCCAGCACGTATTGAGAAGCTCCTTTCTGAAAAACAATTTTATGCTGCAGTGCAATTGCATGTCCAGTCAACATTAATGCTTGAAAGAGAGGGGCTTCAAGCGGTTGGTTCTTACCCTTTCCTTATTGTGGTCAACTTTTGGAATGCTATAATGCAGTTAATTGGTTCTTAAAGTCTTCATATAACCCATGCTGTCAAGTTCTATTTTGTCTTCATATTTGTTATTAAGGCTCAGTTTGGAAGGAGTGCAAATACAAATATGTCTTCATATTTTCTTTGTATTTCTGTTGATATCTCATCACTATCAGATGCTATGTACTCTCTTTTCAATCAATAAATTTTCTTTTTTATTTATTAGCAAAAAACATGTAGTGTAAAACCTTGTATTTTTGTATGTATTTGTACTGTACATATTTGTATTTGTACTCTTAGGGCTCAATTTGGGAAGAGTACAAATACAAATATGTTCAGCAGAAAACCTTGGGTATGGTACTTAGAAACCTTGTATTTGTACTGTACATATTTTGTATTTGCACTCCTCCCAAACTGAGCCTAAAGTACATCTCTTTTTGTTTTCTTCTCCTCTGTTTCAGGTTGGGGCTCTGCAAGATGTTCGCTGTGAACTAACGAAATTACGAGGAGTGCTATTTTATAAAGTTTTGGAAGATCTGCATAATCATCTCTATAATAAGGGGGAATATAGGTAATTCTTTTATCTATTCTCCATATCTTTGATTATTGTAATTCTTTTTGCACATCCAAGCTTACTAATTTTCACTGAACACAATGGAATGGTGAAACAGGATTTATGTAGCTGATCCAATATAGTTTTGGACAAAGCTTAGATGATGATGACTCGTGCTTTACTAATTTAAAATCTGCCCTTAACTTTTTTCCTTTTACTTTTTTTTTTTAAATCTTTTTGTGGACGTTGTTGTTGTTATTAAACTTACTATTAGTTCAGTAACTCTAGTCCTAGAATGTACTGGTTATACAGTTTAACCCTTTTTGTAACTGCTACCATCTGCAATGAGGCTGGTCATAGTTAGACCTGAGTGCATTCCCCAAAAATGGAGATTTGGTCAAATGGGTGCTCTGTCAACATCTGGTTAGCGACCTCCCTTGAAACACCCCTTTGGAGTGATGGTTGCCATTGTTTTAAAAGGTTTAAGCTTTGAGGCAAGGTGCACTAATTTTTCTTCAAGGCTTAAGCCTCACAAATTTGATGCGAGGCTTAGGCACTTACCAGAATGAGGCATATGCCTCAAGCCTCAAGGTGCGGCGTGTAAAAAGGTGTAAGCCTCAAGAATCACTTATTATTTAGTGATTGTAATTTTTCTGGATAGAGAGAAATGAGAGAGAAGAGAAGGGAGAGGAGAGGAGAAGAGAGAGGAGAAGAGGAGGGAGAGAGAGAGATTTGATTGGTATCAAAAGACAATAGCTGGCCGGTGCCCTGCTTACCATTTATATTAACTTAATATAAAGAGAAGAGAAAAATACAATTATGTCCCTGGCCACTCCCTACTAACAAACAAATAACAAGAAAATAAGACACTGGCTGACAGCATCTTAGGTTGACAGCATGCTACCAACAACTGTAAAAAAACAAAATAAACAACTCTCACAACACTCCCCCTCAAGTTGGGCTGAATATGTCTATCATGCCCAGCTTGTCACATAACTCATTGTGCTGAGAGTATGAAAGCCCTTTTGTGAGGATATCAGCAAGTTTTTCCTTGGAGTTGACATAAGGGATGCAGATTTCACTTTTTTCCAATTTTTCCCTTATGAAGTGTTCACTTCAATGTGTTCACTCTAATTTTTCCCTTATGGCTGCCTTGTTGTCACAGTAAAGAGACATAGGATTATGAATAGCAACTCCAAGCTCCCCTAGAAGGTTCTATAGCCAAAGAACTTCAGCCACCCCATGTGCCATAGCTCTATATTCCACTCAGATACTACCAGGGCTTCTTGCATAGTTCTGGGAATGGGTATAGTAGCAATGGACACCAAAAAGGACTTATATGATGGTGAGAGGTGGTCATAAGAAAGAAACTAAGAGATGCAATGGGTTGTAGATGAGGTGCAACGATGCTTTCCTTTGCGTATTGCAATAGGAAGGTCAAGATCATCTATTGGAGGTTGAGGTTCAATGGTGGTGATAGGCATATCATCTGCAGTAATGGGTTGTAGATGAGGTGCAACGATGCTTTCCTTTGCGTATTGCAATAGGAAGGTCAAGATCATCTATTGGAGGTTGAGGTTCAATGGTGGTGATAGGCATATCATCTGCAGTAACTGTGGGTACAGAGGGTGAATTACCTGAATCTGGTGTCGTAGAGGAGACTGGAGGTGGCCCGGACTATTCATTACTTGAACCGACCTGCTTCCACCATCGTCTGTGGAACACTGTCAACTCTCTACACTTCTGATAGCTCCCCTCACTACACTTCCCTTTATTGATAGAAATAGGCAATGGAACTTCCTTAGCAAAAACACCCTTCTCACCACTCTCCCCCTGGGATGAAGTTCTGGAGTAATAAGGGACATCCTCAAAGAATGTAACATCCATAGACGCAAACTTAGTCCTAGAGACGGGATCATAACAACAATAGCCCTTTTGATTTTGTGCATACCCAAGAAAAATACATTTGGCTGCCTTAGGATCAAATTTAGAACGGTGAGGCCCAAGGATTTGAACAAAGCAAGTGCACCCAAAGGTCTCAAGGGGAATAATGAACTGGTCCTTATCAGGGTATAGTAGGTTAAAAAGGCGCTTTTATGTCTAAAACCCGTGAGGGAACTCTGTTAATAAGGTAGACAGCTGTGTGGATGGAATCCCCCCAAAATCGAATAGGAAAATTAGAATTTAGCATGATGCTCCTAGCAATTTCAAGAATGTGTCTACTCTTTCTCTCAGCCACTGCAAATCAAAATCTGTTCCTGCCGCCCAGATTTAATATTTATATGTTTCTACCATAAAAGGATCTACAATGACATCTATGCCCTTGCTGCCCAAAAGACTCCTTAATAGACAATAACAACAATAATAACAACAGCTAAAGCAGGTCCGGGAAGGCCTAGAAAGACTAATAACAAGGTCTAAAAAGACTAATAACAGGTAAATAAAAAAACAACTAATATGGCAGGGACTTCACTAATTTACTAAACTGTTTCTCCACATTTCCATTGAAGATGAACTCAGAAGCTGAAGAGACTGGTTCTAGTGTTCAAAAAGAAGAAGATCTAGACACAAGGAATTCAGAAGGTGAGGATAAAAATCCAGACAAAGAAGAGAGTGAAGTGGTTGCATCCAAGACTTGTGAGAAGAATGTGATCATGGAGCTAGAGAGAATTATGGATAGAATGCAGAACTTGAGAGATTCAAATGGCTTTTCTAGCACAATCAAAATATCTAGAAACAAGAAAGATTATCTAATCTAACTGTCAAGGCTTCAAAGGTTTTCTCCAGGTCAAAAGGAGGCCTATTTGGGATTGGGCCTAGTAGGAAGATAGAGAAGTCAAAGAAAGTAAGAGGAGCAAAGAAGTTCTGATTCAAGCTTCTGGGGAAGCTGGTTAACTTGTGAGAAATCTTTGTTCTCTGGGACCCAATGTTTCTAGGTTTTTTTAGAGGGTCATAAAAGTTTACCTTGTGAGGGTGGCTGTTTCTCATTCTTTTGTTTGGGGTTTTAGAGGAGTCTGGGGATGGATTGATGATGTACTGGGGCTTTATCTCTTGGTTTCTGATATTTAATGGGATCTTTGGGTTGTTAGTTTTTAGGGTTGTATTGTCTTCTCTTGGGTGACTTCTGGTCACCTTCCCTTGTTTCTTATTTTTTTTAATAAAATTGTATTTTATTTACCAAAAAAAAAACTGCTACCATCTTAGGTTTTCATTGGTGCCCTACCATCAGATTACACCACTTAGAATCTCCCGAGGAAAAACACCAGAACATCTAAGGAAGGTTCTTTGTTTTGAAGAAAAGCTTAGGCAATTATTTGTGTTATTGACATTTGTGCCCATTAATTTTCTGCTGATCATTTTAAGTTTTGTTTATTGTTGCTATCTTCTATATGGTTTTCTCTTTCAAATATTCTATTTTCAGAACCTTGTCTATCTCATTTACGATTTACCATAATATTGTTAATCTGGTCATTGCAGTTCAACTACCATAAGCATACATGAAGGGGATGATGAAGTGCTGACAACAACCTCTATTGCATTTTCAATGAATAATTCGCAACCACTTTCTCGAAGAACTAGGCTACTGAAAGGTGATAATCAATTTAATGCAGCTGGACATGGAGATGGATCTTATAGGCCAGGCTCTGTTGATGGAGGGTAGGGCTGGATGGTTTTTGTACTTGCATGCAATATTATATATCTGTTCTTTTGAACTTTCTTTTTTACTTTTTAATTTTCATTTCATAAAATTTTACTTTTTGTAGTTTCACCTTCATTTCTTTATTTTTTTGAAAGGTAAAGTAATAAATTTATTGAATCAGAAAGAACTCGTTACAATAGAAGAGCAAGCCACAAGCAGCTGCTCAGATTACAGGACATGTTACAGATCCCAAATGGATATAGACCTAAATAATTCAGGAACATTCAACTCTTTAAAATCAGGTGTAATAGACACCCAAGAAATCAGCTTGCTGACCACCTGCTGCACAATTTCCTCAGTGCTCTTAGCTTTGTTGCTGAAGACTCTTTTATTCCTCTCTGATCAAATTACATCACTGCCGCAGGAATAGTTCTCCAAATTAGATTTCCTTTTTTCTTCAAACCTTGGAGATTCCAGCAAAGCAGCAGGTCTTTAACTGAACTTGGCATGGCCCACTTAAGACCAGCTGCACCTATGAAATGGTACTAGACTCTCGAAGAGATAGGACAATGTAAACACAGATGGTCTGTGGACTCAGGCAACAAGCCACACAAACCACACATCAGAGAAGGGAGCTGAATACCCCTTCTGTCCAGGTTGAGTCTTGAGAGACATTTGTTCAGCACCATAATCCATACAAGGAAGATAGACTTCGAGGGAGCACAAGACTTCCATACTTGCTGGTAGAGGAACTCAATAACCCCCGTACTACTAAGTTTAAAAGTAAGGGATTTGACTGAGAAACAGCCATCCTTACTCCAGGACCAGCTCCATTCATCTTCACCTGCAATGTCTATCATCTGCTCCTGTAAAATCTGCAGAAGCTGCATCACACCTTCTATTTCCCAATCAAATAACTCTCTTCTGAACTGAGGATTTCAGATCACTGAGTTGTTAGAAATCACTTAAGACTCCACCACTGAAATTTCTTGATTTACTGTACATTGGAACAGAAGGGGAAACGCCTCAGCTAAAGGTCTGTCCAAGCACCAGGGATCTTTCCAAAATTTCAGCTTGTTCCCATTTCCCACCTTAAACCTCACACCCTCATACATCACAGGAAGAGATTTAAGAATCCCTTTTCAAACCGAACAACCCCATGTTGGGTATGGATCCCGAGACTTCCAATTCCCCAATCCACACCAAATTTTGTTGCAATTAGGGACTTCCACCAAGAAGATCTTTCTGCAGAAAATCTCCAACACCATTTACTCAATAAAGCCGAATTAACCACCTTTAATCTTCTAAGATCTAAACCACCCTCTGCCTTAGGAAGACAAACTTGATCCCTATTCACAAGATGCATCTTCTTCTCTTCTTCCCACCCTCTCTAGATAAAATCTCTCTGCATCTTCTCAAGTTTGCAATTTTAGATGGCATAGGAAACATGGGCATGAAGTAGGTAGGGAGGTTGGCAAGGGTACTCTTGATAAGGGTCACTCTCCCTCCTATAGACAAATATTTTGCCTTCCAGGAGGCCAATTTTTTCCCAACTCTCTCAATTACTGGATCCCATAAAGCAGAAGAATAACATTTGGCACCTAGTGGGAGGCCAAGGTACTTACCCGGAAGATAATCCACCTGGCAGGCCATCAACCTAGCAAAAGAATCCTGCTTAGGAACGGGGCCCACAGGGATTATCTTACTTTTATGAAGATTAACTTTAAGGCCCGAGACTACTTCGAACCAGCAAAGTATACCAAGTAGAACATCCACCTGGTCAAAAGAGGCATGAACATCAAGGAAACAGAGAGTATCGTTAGCAAACTGCAATAGATTGACTTTTTCCGCTTTTGGAGCAATTGCAAAACCATTCCACAAACCATTAGCTGCTGCTTTAGGGAGAATTGGGTCAGGAGTTCTGATATACAGATAAAGAGCAGAGGAGAGAGTGGGTCCCCCCTGTCTAAGACCCCTCGAACTATCAAAAAACCCCACAGACTAGCCATTGATCAACACAGAGAATTTGGGAGAAGAAACACATACTTTTATCCAATTCTCCATTTCTGTCCAAAGTTCATTTTCTCCAGCACCTGATCCAGACACCTCCAGTTTACATGGTCATATGCTTTTTCTATATCCAACTTTTTTTTTTTTGATCAGCAAAAAGATTTTATTAATAACAGAGAAATATTGAAATACAATAGATATTGGTTGCAGAAAGCATTAACCCAATCTGCAAACACTACAGAGCATTTACAGTTTTGCCCAGTACAAGGTAGATCTATTTGCCCCCTGTTTTGCTAGAGTGTCCGCCAACTCATTTGCAGTCCTTTTGATCCAGCCAAACTGAGTGTTGAACTTCCTTGCAATTATGTTAATTTCTCTGTATATAAATTTGAGCTTCCAAGGTGCTGATGTAATGTTTTTAGCCCAAGAAATGACCAACAGTGAGTCTCCTTCTATTTCTAAGTTTGTTGTACCAATCTGCTCAGCCATTTAAGCCTTGAAGTAGAGCTAATGATTCCGCCTGTATTGAGTCACCAATACCTATTGGTCCCGAGAAGAGTGCCACAACTTCACCTAGATGATTTCTAATAACACCTCCTATACTTGCCCTTCCCGGGTTGCCGAAGGAACTCCCATCAAAGTTTAGTTTTAATTTGTTCAGTGCAGGTGGCTTCCACTCCTCTCTCACAACTTCTTTGGGAACATCTGTCTGTGCTACTTCAGTCCAACTTCTTAGAATTTCATTCGTAGAGAAATTTTTGAATAGATCCATGGTCATCACCCAATGTGCAGTTCTCATTTTTATGGTTTCAATGACTTCCTCCTTTGATACTTTTTCTAGAGAAAATTCTTTGGTTTCTTTCTGTCAGATAGTATATGCCCTTAGCTCCAATCAGAATGATGTACATTATGACATTTAATGTAAATGAATAAAGTATTTATTTGATTCATGTTATTATGGTGTGTTTCTGTGTAATACCCTTGAACTGGACGCATATGAGACTCGTGTTAGTTTAGAATCTTCACAGCCGTTAGATAGATCTGGGGAGATTTATCCTGCCAAGGCTGATACTGATGTGCCGCCAAGTTGGTTGGGGTGACTTGTCTTAGTTGCTAGGGTGAGACTCGAGGTACATGCAGTGTGGGTTTTCTTGAAACCCTGAACTGGACCAGAATTCCAGTATTGCCCTGGACCTTGGAGATAGATGGGCAAAACTGGAATGTTACACCTGACCCCTAGACTTGATTATGATACTACACTGTCGGATTGGGCTGTCTTTGATATGCCAATCAGTGAGATCCTTAGAGGGGGTCAAAACCTGGGTATGTTGGGACAGTCCGAGAATTCATTTGAGTGGGTGATCATAGTGACAGGATCAGCCCCTTTGTTGGACAAAGTGAATGATCGGGGATGCACTCTCTCTGATAGAAACCAA